TGAAAAAGAACAGTAATGATTACTCTTAATAATTATTACATCGTAGCGCCGGAGTAGGTTGGAAGAGAACTAGAGGCAGCCAAACTAATACATGGCACAAATTCATTAAGTCATTGACAACTGGATTGAGTTATGGTTATAGATGTTAACTACCTGGTTGAGATCCATGAGGTGATGGTAATCGATGGTCAGAGACGTTCAGCAACATTTCTGAAAATCGTTTTCATTAGCATAAGTGCATCCACTGTTTGTGTTCTATCAAGTTCTTGCCTTCAGTATTCATCATCACCTCTATCTATCTCTTTCTAAATTTATCTCATTGGACTATACTTCTTGACTAATACCTTCGAACCGTGATCTTCTCCATTAGTGTTAATAGTTCTACTTCATCTACCGAAATGGAATTTGAATTGACAATTGCGTTTGTGTGGTAATGTTGTAGTGAATGAGAACACAGGTGAGGGCAACCGAATTGTATTTAACGAAAATTACAGAGTTACTCAGTAAAATTGGAAAGCCATATCGTAAATCGTTCATTTGCAAAATATCAGTTCATCATATCGAACTGGACTGTTCCTGTTGCAAAACATCAATCCATTGTCTGACATTTCACTATTCATGCGTTTCATACAAATTCCATTGTGTTCTTCTAACTCTTCCTTTCTTGATCTTCCCCCATCTTCTGCTGCCAGACATTACGTTGACACTCACGTCATATACTACTTATAAGTAGCTCGCACCACAATGTGATATGGCCACCTGAACATATGTACGTACATACGTACGAAGTACTAAGTTATTGATGACTGGCTGATGCATTGATTGTTATTATTTCATTTATTAATAAGACGCTATTTATTTTTTTAACGAAAAATATATACACCCGGAATTTGTTGAATGAATAAATAATGATGTAAGATGTTGGTAATCAAGAAAAACGAAACTGTAGTCCAATTTGTTTTTTTATCACCGAATTTCAATTTGTGATTCCAATTCAACTGTTTTTATTATCATTCATGAGTATATATATGTATATACAGACACTGGATTTTGATGTTCATTTAGAATTCCCTGTAATTTACATTGTACATGTTAAATAATGCATAGATTTTTCATGTTATTGATAAAAATTATTTAGATGTGATTAACAAATGTTTTATCGGAGTGTTTGAATACAAGACTGTGTGTGTGTGTGTGTGTTTAGACTTTCTCATTAGTCATAATGGAATAGTGAGATTGTTTTCCAGCTGACTCTTGTTCTCATTAACTTTCTAGATAAGTATATGAATTCATTTGGAAGGGTTTTGTGGAAGTTGGCGGTTATTTTTAGGTTGTAGTTGTCACAGATTGGGTGTATCATTGGAAATTAGGGAACATTGAACTGGAACTTTGAAAGAAATTCATCTGTAACGAATTCTACAGTACGAAGTAGTTGAATTGGTTAGATTTTAAACTTTGAACCCCCAATTTCTCCGCTTAAAACATTCCACGATATCAGTCAGTCAGTCAGTTACAATGTAGAACTTCGTACGTAAGTACGTCAGTTCAAGTTGCCATACCACATATGCACAGAGACGCAATTGTCGATTCATATCCCATAGTGGTAGAGGTAGTAGAAGTATTAGCAGTAATTGAGAAAATTAGGATTATTAAAGAAGTATAATTCAGTGAGATAAGGTTAGAAAGACAAAGGTAGAGGTGTTGACGAATCCAGAAGATTAGAACTTGAGAGGAAAAAAAGAGTGGATGCATCTGAGCCATTGCAAACGCTTTTGAGCAATGTCATTCAAGGTCTCTAACCATCGGTGACTTCCGTCTCGTGGACCCCAACTAGGTAGTCCACACCTACCGACATGGCTCAGTCCACTTGTAAGTGACTTTATGGATTTGTGCCATGTTTTGGTTTGGCCACCTCTAGCTTTCTTCCAACTTACTCCTACATCACAAAACATAGCTCGTCGAGGCAGTCGGTGGTTAGGCATACGTCACACATTTCCAAATCACCTCAACTTATGAAGTTT